ATCAAGAGAAGTGATCCTTCCACTTTATTCAGAGCTTTTAAGAGCACATCTGGAGTACTGTGTCCTGTTCTGGGCTCCCCAGTGCAAGATAGATATCAATATACTGGATTGAGTCCAGCAGAGGTCACCAAGCTGGTCAAGGATCTGTAGCACAGGGCATATGAGGAAAGGCTGAGAAAGCTGAATTTGTTCAGGTTGGAGAAGGGAAGCGGAAGGGCAGACCTTACTGCTGTCTGCAATTACCTGATCAGAGCATGACAGAGCTAGCTAGAGTCTTCTTGAAGGTACATAGTGATAAGAAGGGAGGCAATGGGAGCAAGTTTCAACATGGGAGATTCCAAATAAATATTGGGGAAAAAAAACATACGATGAGGGTGGTCAAACAGCCATGCGGGATGTCCAGAGAGGCTGGGTAACCTCTGTCCTTGGAGAGTACAGTCTTGAACAACCAGATATATTTAGATCTGTTTTGAGCAGGGGATTGGTCAAGATGACTGCTGGAGGTCCCTCCAAACCTAAGCTATGGTTCTGGGATTCTGACAGTATTATTGACACTGAGAAAATTTACAGCTACTCATATACTGACCACCACACAGATGTGAACATTTGAAGCCAGAGGCAGCCTTTATTTTAAAGTCTCTTAAAAATGGTTGTGATGTGGTGGGGTTTTTCTTGTTTTGTCCTGTTTTTTCCCTTCTGGTAATAATTGTTCAAAAAAAGAAAAAGTGCTGATATTGAAAGCAGGAGGCTGTGAAACAGGTTGTTCTTCCTGGAAAAGATTTTTTGGTCAGTTGTAGAGACAGCTTAAGGCTCTTCAGCCATATAAGCAAATTGTTATTCTTAAGGTTGGGGAAGCAATGCTGGACCAAGCCGCTCCTGAAATGAAAAAGGGAGCAGCAAGAGAAAGAGGTGCAAATGTGGTGAAGAGTAAAAAAATTGAGTCCTGGAAATTTGCTGTCAGCAGAGGATGAGAAGGAGGGGACAGCAACAGTGTCTGCGAAAGGAACCATACTCCTATTACCAATACCTGTGGTCTTTTCCTCCCATAAACCATCCTGGACAGCAGCAGCTGCAGCAGCAAAAACTTTTATTTCCAAGGTGCATCCTGGCCTGACTTGTTAATGTACTTCTGTGTCCACATCAGTCAGGCAAGTTCTGTTCTGTGGATAAAATAAAAAGCACTGAAATTCTCCATGTCTGGAGACTGCTGTGCAGTCTTCCACATTTTACTCTCATGTTATTCCGTTTGTGTCTCCAGTGTCTTATGGGGACTGCTGAAAGTTAGGAATTACAAAGTGTATGTTTCTATAATAGACTGTCTTTTGCCTTGGAACAAGATAATATTATTTTATTTTTTTGAATTTTGCAAAGCCTTTTGGATTTTTTTCCAAGATGGAATTGTTACATTTATATCAAACACATCCAAACAGGTGGTTTGCCACAAGGTTTCTTTGTGAAGCAATTTAAAATTATGGTCACATGGCTTGCTTTCCCCAGCTTTTGTTGTTGTTTTTTGTTGTTCTTTTTTTTATTATTTTTGAAGGACAAAACCTCACTGATCATTAGTATGTAATTAAAAAACACAGCTGGCATCGATGGATTTCATTTCTCACTGCCTGTAATTTCAATTGGCATGCATTTAGTTGATTTTATCACATGACTGTAGGCAGAACAGAACTTCAGTAAGCTTACAGAAAAGTAAAATTAATTGGTATGTATTTCAGACATAAAATATTGTTTTTAAAATGTGTTACCATGGCCAACTCTTCTTTGTCCCAAGGAGTGATTCTTTATACAGCAATTTGAAGGCTTCATTCTGCAGTCATTGAACTATTTGGAGTTTTGCCTGCACAATGACGTGACATTAGCTTGTTCTGTGAGTGGACACCAACAATAGTCTGTAGGACCTTCTCAGCTGTCCCCAAGGACTAAAGCCCTCAGGGCTCAGCACAAGCTTGTCTACAGTTAGGGAATATGACAGTCCAACCTCTGTGACTAGGTCCAGTGGCACACACAGTGGGTCATGTTACCTCCAGTTCCAGTTGTTAAATACAGAGCATCCATTTTTTGTCAATGCATTTAATGTAGTTCTTACCCCAGAGTAAATATATGCCACAAAAATATCTATAAAAATACAGTTTTTAAAAATGTTATCAGTAACTCTTTTTTTTACTACAGCTTGAGGTGTTGCTAACAAGGGGATGAACTGGAGTCAGTTATGTGTTCTACAACTGACATCCATAGCGGTGTCTTTGCACGCTCATTATAACTTGAGGCAAAATATTAATTTGTTATTATAAACCAGGTGCACAAGTTCCAGTTAAAATAGCAACATAGCAATAGATGACTGAAAATAAATTGTCTTCCACAGTTTCCATTAAACCTGTAAATGTCTTTAAATGCAAGAAATTGTTCAGATGATCAAAATTTGGTTACATACACATTAAGAAATATATACAATCTTCCATAGACATTTTTTTCATTGTGAAATTCTCAGATTTGTGCAGTTCTTTAAAAATACAATTGGGAAATAAAAATAATCATTTTAATCTAAATATGTTCTCAAAGGAAGAAGTGGAGAGACAGAAGTGCATTTTTGCACCTGAGAATGAGCCAGACAGAATTATTCTCTTCAGTCAATAATTTGGTGTGAAAACCTGATCTCACTGAAGTCAACAGAAATAGGATTGAATCTTTAGTTTTAATTCTTCCTTGATGGTGAAATTTTCACCTTCTCAGAGAGACAGGATAAGGATAATGCATCACTTTAGTCTCATTTAGACTTTACTACAGCTCCACTTCCCTCTTTACTGAAATTTACAAGTGTTCTTCACCCATCTATGTGAAGGTAAGCTTTTTTCTAATCAGAGTTCTATCATAAGAACAACCGTAGAATACATTTATTTATCTCAATAAACAAAAACCACAATACTTTTTAATCAAGATAACATTAAATAATCAAAAATACTCTGGATTTTCTGGAAACAAACTTTGTCCCTGAGGCCTTAGTTTTACTTTCATTAGTTACCTTGTGCAGAGCACAGGGTCTCCTTCTTTTTCTTAAAGTGCCTATATCTGCTATCTGTATAAATACTTTCTATAACAGAAATAATATTTTTTTTCAAAGATACATAATCTGTGCAGAGTTGATATGTTCTTCCTGAGTATACTTTCAAATCATGTTATAACCATATTACCTATCTTGATGGTTATTTACATTTTAAATTGCATTTATAATTTTTTCTTCAAATGGAAATTGAGGGAAATGGATTTTGAATTGTAATAAGAGAAGGGAAAAAAATAATTTAAAGTTTTTGATGTAAATAGATGGATATAATATTATACAGAAAAATAACTCTTCAAATGGAAATTGAGGGAAATGAGTTTTGAATTGTAATAAGAGAAGGGAAAAAATAATTTAAAGTTTTTGATGTAAGTAGATGGATATAATATTATACAGAAAAATAACGTATTCCTACATTAAGAGGTTTCACCTTACAAGAGCTGTATTTAGTCATCTAAATTAATATAAGTGTTATACATTTGATTGATTTCCAGGTAAATTTAAATTTTAAACACTTGATTGATTTCCAGGTCAACTCAAATGTAATGCTTTGTAGTAATGCACGGTATAAACATTTATTGTAACAGGCACGAATTATTGTCCATATATCAGGACCCAATACTTGACATGGATTTACCAGAGAAAAACTAACTGGCCTATCTCCTCTCCCCTGATCAGTGTTACTACGAGTAATGTGCATTTCAGGTCTAAAGACAAAATAACTTCACTGCCTGTGTGTTTGTACAGAGATCCCTAATCTGATTTAGAGGTGATGCAAATCACGTTGGGTCAATGACCATGATGCTGTGGGATATAACCCAGGTGGTAATCTGATCTGTACGGTCGCTGTTACAATGTCTTACCTGAAAAAGAGGAAATACAGCTTGAATTTGAGCTGAGCTTGAAAAGAAAACAGAAAATCATCCTTTTATTTTATGAATTATGCAAATATGAACTGTGTGTACACTAATTATGGGATTGAGATCACCTGTCTTTGTCTGAAATGTGTCTACACGAGCTGCCCAATCTTGATTACAGTCAATGAAGACAGTGAGGTCTGTTGACCAGTTCCTCTGACCAGTAAAGATGCCTGTTTCAAGCTACAATTAATAATTTAGCAGAATTCCATGGACTACAGTGGAAATTCAGAAAATAAATTATGTGTAAACACCTACATTGGAGATATCCCCATTTAGGCAAGATAAATCCCCACCTAGCTGTCCAAACTGAGATGTTTGAACTAATAATCGAAGTTCCTTCTGAAGTCAATGAAAGGAGACCAGCAGCTCCACAAAGCAATTAATCTTATCCTTGGATGTGTGTTTATCACATATGGAAGGAAACATATCTCCACTATAGGGAACCTTGAAGGTTGCCTTAGATTAGATATCAACAGTGAATTTTGTTCAAGATTAGATGAAGACATGTGAAGCAAGTATCTCAGCTACCATTATAGTCAAAGGGGCTCCCAGTCTCAGTGTATGTAGTTATGAAAAACCCATGAGGAAAGGCTCTAATGTTCATATTTGCTTTTACAGAAACATTATTGTCTCCAATTTAATTTACAAGTCTGATTCAAAGATACTACTACTGCCACCAGTACATGCATAGAAATGTGATGTTTGGCTTATATGTGGAAAACAGAGTATCTGTTTCACCCTCTTTGTTCAGACAGAGGAGGGAAGAAAATATCACTCCACAGCCTTGATGAGCTGCTGTGCCCATAAGTAAGTACCTTCACTACATCGTCTAAGAAATGAATCCTGACCTTGTATAAAAAATGCAAAACTTCCACTGAAGTAAAAATTGCCTTATTCATATGTCTTGGAGCAGAATTCAGCTCTCAGAACTAAAACAGCTTACACTCACCTGCTGCTTTGATTCTGTAATGCATTTTCAATTGATATCTTGTATAAATCATTAATTGACATCAATGTGCTTTATCAAGAACACAGTATTCCAGTCACAAAGTGCCATCCAAATGGAAAGACCCCACAAGTAAGCAAGAATGACCAGAACATTACAAATATACTCTTGAGTTTCTCCGTGACAAATTCTTGCATGACTATTACACATTTACAAGGTATCAGTTTTCATTTGGTCATTGTTGTTTAAAACAGGAGAAGGCTTGCTCTTCTGACCATCAGTTCCTCCTTTGGATGTGTCCTGGAAGAAAAGCCTTGGCATCCACAGTGACATTAAAATTCTTTTGTATTCATTCCGAAAATTCTGGTTAAGAACTCCGTATATTATTGCATTAAGGCAGCTGTTGAAATAGGCCATGAAGTAGCTTATAATGAACAACCATTCAGGAACTCTTGGTGCCATTTCCACAGGATCGATGGCTACAGCCAGTCCAATGAAGTTTAGAGGTGCCCAGCAAAAGGCAAAAATCACAAAAACCACAAACATGGTAAGAAAGTTTCTGAAGTCACTTGGCTTCAGTCTTAGCTTTGTTTCTGACTTGACTCGTCTTCTAACTTGAAGCACTAAAACCCAAATTCGAAGGTAGCAGAAGCTCACAATGGTGATAGGGATGATGAAGTGAATTACCACAACAGCTATCGTATAGTAGGAGCTTGCAGTCTGAACAAATGTGCATGAATAGATGCGTGGATCATACTTTAAAGAGCCAACAAAAAAATTTGGCACAGTTGCAATTACTGTTAATACCCAGACTAAGGAGACGTAGAGCATCGTGTTCCAACAGCTGTACACTTTGTCATAGGCAAAGCTATGACATATATAGCAATATCGGTTTATTGCAATTGCAGTGATGTTGAAAATAGAGCCTATTACACTTAGTCCCATCACAAAGCCACTCACTTTACAGTGCATTTCACCCAAAGTCCATCCATTGTTGAAAATAGCTAAGAGCACCAGTGGGTATGGATACAAGGCCACCACCAGATCAGCCAAAGCCAGGCTCACCACAAATGCATTACCTGGGGAAAAAGAAAAATACATAGACATAAGTCTGAAAGCAAGTATACTTGTGAAGAAGAAAATATGATACACGTGGATCTGCTGGAGTGAGCCCAGAGGAGAGCCACAAGGATGATCAGAGGGCTGGAGCACCTCTCCTATGAGGACAGATTGATCAAAAGGCTTTTCCTCATGTAGGAAAGCAGTTCTCCATTTAATTTTAAGCATAGAAATAATGCTGTGGATAATGATGTAATTAGCTGGGAGACGTAAAACCAACAACCTTGTAGGATTAAAGTCCTCAAAAAATGGCAGAAGTTCATCTGTATACTGTTTGCTTCACCTGCTCTGTAACTGTAGCTTGTTTAATCTGAATTCAGGAACGGGGATCTCTTTCTCCCATATGCTTTAGGGGAAGACCATGCTCATCAGAATTTGCACAACAGCTAGTGAACTTAACAGAAAGCAGGATTATCCATCTGTAGCTACAGAAACATGTTTTATCTCAAGAGTAGTGTAAAACTTATTTTAGATGGTTCCTTGTTATGCATTTAGCAGCCTGTCTGACACTCTCTTTATATTTCAAAGGCCACATAAGTGTTTTTATAGCTACAGTTCACTGACATGGTACTGAATGTAAGGAAATTCCATGCTATTTGTCCCAAAAGTAGGATGTAAAACCAATACTACTGTGTTAGTTTTTGTGCCCTCCCAAGCCACAGTTACTCCCTGCTTTAGGTTGAAGCAGGTCTGTTTGAGTATGTTGTTGGACCTGCACAAGGAGACATTTCCTGCTGGCTTTATATGTGCTGTACTGAATGCAATTCAGTAATGTCATGCTGTTGTGAAAAAGGTAAACAAAATTTTCAGATGCAAAACTACATGAAGTACTTTTTCTGTCTTACTCAGGATTGCTAAGGCATCGGAGAAATGTCTCCAGTTTGGGGCTTCACACTTCAAGAAGTAAGTAAACTCTAATTAAACCTGATCTAGAACAAAGCAAATATCTAGTAGTTCTAGGACTTGTGAGGCAAGAATAAACAAAATAGGGAGAAAATTGAGGGGGGCGTGATAACAATCTCCAAATAAATGAAGTAGGAAAGATATAATCCTTTCTCATTACTGTAGTTAACACAAACAAGCTTCAGTTACAACACAGAAGTTTCAGATTAGACACGGAGAAAAACATTTTAATGGCAAGAAGAAGGAACTGCTGGAACACCTTGCTTTGAGTCTGCCATTGGAGGTTGTAAGAAAAATTAAATAAACATTTGTCTGTACTGGCCTAGATATGGTTGATTCCTGTTTTCAGTATTGGAAGGATGAGATGACTTCGAAGTCCTTTTCTAGCCATATGATAAATAGGATAAAGGATAAGACTAACAAAGTTATGGGGGAATTTTTATCAGAATGTATTTACATTATGGCAACCAGAATTTATCTTATGTTTTTTCATCGCTATATCTGACATTAGAAGACAGAGAAATCAGGAGAAATAAAGAAAAAAATAATCTTTTTTTCTGATTTAGAATGCTTTTTTGAGGAAAATAGAGTGCCTCCAGCCTCAGTTTATACCTGAAATGAAATTGTTCAGTTAAAATCAAGTGGGCATTCAGCTTTTTCAATGAAATTGGAAACTTACTCTAATGTACATTTGGCAAGAGAATTTCAAAGTTGTGTGTATAATTTAGGACTTTTTGAAAATTCCAATTGCAATGAATACGGACAGTTAGCAATGAACTTGTGGAAAACATGATATACCACTTTACAACATAGAAGACAAATGGTGTCATATCTATAAAGGCCTCAAGCAATTTGTCACTTTTATGGTGGTTTACAGGGTCAGGTGTTCACACTGTGCACTGAAAAGTAAGGTCCAATGTTTTGGGTTTTTTTTCTCTATTTGGCTGACTGTGGGATGAAATTTAATATTATACTACTGCAATGAATAATCTACAAAAGTAGAGAAAAACTTCTCTAATTCATAAAAAATACATAATCAACATTTTGAGAAATCAAAGATCTTAGATGTCTTTTAAGTGTTTGCAGAAAGTAAATGTTTCTTGATATACCTAAGACACAGCATTTGGAGTGGCTATAATTACAATCATAAGATAACCAAAGACGCAACTTTTTGCTGTCTGTAACAAAATAGGAAACACATAATGCTTCTCACAGAAGCCACCCATGTCCCCCCCGGTACCAAAAGCTTGCCATGCAAACCCAGTACATTATTATAATTATTTCCATAGTTTACCCAATGGACTGTTCCTAGATTTTAGTTTCGTCACACAGAAGATTATATTAATTTGTAAGAAACACATTTGCTCACTGGAATGGAAACACCTCTTAATTATAAGCAGTAGTTACTAAAAGCCAAATATGTAGCTAGGGATTCAAAAAAATACACATCTGCACTGTTTAAACCATTGATAGTTGGGTGCTTAGAAAAGAAAATAAGTTCTAATATTGACTTTGGGTGCAACAGAACTAGATTGATATTTCATTAAGCATTCTTGCATATTGGTTTTGTTAACCCAATTAATAGGAAAAAGGGAACCTGCACACCTTTTTGCCATCTTGATATGACTTGATATCATAGGAATTTGATCACAGAACAAACTTTTTTATAAAGTCTGGACTTCTATGGGCTAAACATCTGAAAAGGCAATTGAGTTCTAATGTCCCTACCAAACCCAGAAGCAATTGCAATCATCAAGTAGTTCTAAAGGTTTTGTTTCTTTCTTTGGTTTCACACTGGCTAAAATGATTGATTACATATAATGGAATTTTATTTGTTAACAGATGATGTTTTGTTACACATTTGTTTAACAAGTTGCTATACATTGCGTATAGACATCATCCTCTTAGCTTTATTTCCCTTTGGCTACAGTCATGTTTGTCCTTGTGTACTCTTCTTCTGCATCCATTACTCTTGTCTTCTTTAGCATACAAGAGTCTAGCTTCAAGACAGGTAAATTGTTTCTATGCAGCCTATTGTGCAGAATGCTGCATTTTTCTTGGTCCCCTCCTCTCCTACTGTCACAGTTGGGTGGCTGTGTAGCAACAAATGTAAGGTGTAGGGGCAAGCAAGGCAGAAAGTGAATGAACATGACTATAATGTATTGACAGATTTTTTTTTTTTAATACCAAGGATCAATGACTCAGGATAATTACTTTATTCTTCCATTTCCATATTCTAACCCTAAGGGAAAACTCAGAGTTACTCTTGTAGATTTCTTGCTTCTTTATGTCTTTAGTTGGAATGTAAGTGGGAAAGCTCCCTGTTTGGGCTTAAAAACCCCTCTAATAATCAGTACTATGTTTATAATTAAATAGCTTTTTATACTGCCTGTGAATGATAAGAACTAGAGGTTTTCTATGGTACCACTCAGGTAACTACCTGAACATACTTATCTACACTAAAGGAAAAGGAGCAAGATCTTGACTTTAATGAAGTAAATAAGAGTCCTATCATTCTATAAAATGAAGCCAATCATTCCTCTGCAGAGTTCACAGTAACAGACATCCTCAGGAAGAAGTTAGGCTGACAAACTGTCTGTCCATACACACTAGGCATTTCTCTAGTGCTAGCTCACTCTTCAGTCCCCTTTTTTATTCCTCTGCCAGACTCCTCTACCCCTGTACTCAAAATTAACTTAAAAAGGAGAGTTCTGGAAGGATTCTGGTAGCTTTGTTGTCATGGTTGGTGTATAAAAACAGAATCTGAGCTCAGTTTCTAAATAGCATTATAGCCAAAGCCACAAGATTTCACTTCAGGGATGAATGCTGTCATTCATTTTTTAAGTTACTTTTTGTATAAATTCTAAGCATACAAAATGTTTTTTTGTTTTGTTTTGTTTTGTTTTTTAAATGTTCACAAAACACACGAAGTGAGTCTAATATTTTAGTTCTTTCCTGTAAGTCACTAAAGGAAAAAAAAAAGTTTTATGGTCTTCATCATAATTCCAAATTTCCTCAAGTGATATGTTGCTTGCATAAAAAATCATTTCTCAGCTATGACATCACCTTTTTCTAATAAAGATAACCTTGATCCTTATACTAGGCTTAGTATGGAACTTGCTAGGAGCTTATGATTTTTGTTTCTGACTACCAGAAATTTGTGGAAACAAAATGTTATTTTTGTTGTTTTAATCTTAATGTTATTGCTCATATCATATCATATCATATCATATCATATCATATCATATCATATCATCTGCCTTTTAGGGCTCTTTAATGATTGTTGAAGTTAATGGGAGAATTACCATAGACTTAAAGGAGACATAAATCAGATACAAGAAAGTAAAGACCTGTTACTAACCAGAATGTGAAATATAGAAAGTATTTGGTCCATATAACAAGAGCAATAACAATGCAAAACACGAAGCACTTGAATTATATTTGGATGTATAAGAAAAAAAAAAATCAAAACATAAACCATTTTAATAGTTCCTACAACCTTGAAAAGAGCAGATCTTACCTTCAGACAAAGAGAAATAGCAGCCCATTAATCCCAAGGCACGTTAGCCAGGATTCGCTACAGCAAGTGGCATATTGGATCTATTGTTTGAGTCTAGACCAACATGGAGAATGAAGAGGCATATATAGCAGCTTGAAGAAAGCAATCAGTCCTTCAGTCAAGAAGGCTGTCTCTCTTTAATCTCCTCTTGTCTATAATTACTAATTAGTAATAGAAACTATGTAGCTTTGATAAAGTATTGTCTAGAAATTTCTTGTGCAATGTCATTTTTTGAGAATATAATTTATCAGACCTACTGAACCTCAGACCCTACTGAATCCTCATAAGAGTGACTCTCAAGGTCTGGATCAGATAAAACAGAAGCATACTCAACTAACAGAAAATTGGTATAAAATTGACTTCACGTGTCTATGTTTCCACTCCTGTTTGTATAAGAATAACCCTGAAATTGAAACTAAGGACCAATTTGCTCAGCCAAACCATTTAAGTACAGATTGTTCTAAGTGCCAGCTTGAGTGCAAACCTGAGCAAGGTATGAGTTGTTATCCAGATCACAGTTCAGGAT